CTCTCTCTCTCTCTCTCTCTCTCTCTCTCTCTCTTTTAACATTTAGGAAAAGAGCTCTGGTTGCTATTGGTACCCATGATTTGGACACTCTGTCAGGCCCATTTACTTACACTGCAAAGCGGCCTTCAGATATCAAATTCAAGCCTCTAAACAAGACCAAGGAGTATACAGCCTGTGAACTGATGAACATGTACAAGGTAAATGTTCCTGTATGTTATGCAATAGCTCTGTATAAATCATGAAATCCCATCAAGATCAAGTTTTGGGATTAGAGAAATGTAATGAGAGCTTTTTAAAAAGTCACATTGTCTGGATACCAACCAAGAGCTACCAGTTCATTTGATCTAGAGTTGGGGCCTGGGCAGTCTTGTTACTGTTTTTTTGAACCTTTTGGATGGCTTTTAAAATATAGCCACGATTGCGAGCCACTGAAATAGACCATGCCACATTATAATATTCATATTTGGGTATAATTAAATCCATACAAGTATAAGGAACAAAAGAATTGGCTAGTTTTTTTTTGTGGGAGACAGAATTACGAAGTGTCTACCTGCTCTTCCAGCAGTGAAAATGGATTCAGTTGTCACTTCAAATTGCACTTAACCAGTGGAAGTAGTGGGTATCCTTCAGAAAAAGTAGCTCTTCCCCTTGGCCTGATTTGTCAGGAATTTCTTCTTATTTATATGAATAATTCAGTGATAGTTTGAATTTTGTTTGAGATGATTCAGGATTACCAATGCAAATCTATTTTCACTTTTGAAAAATGATTCATTTGTGTTCTTATCTCACCTTAGCAGGAGATAAGGTTGTATAAGGATGTCAAAATACTAATTTATACTAGAATACTATAAATTTAGAACTTTCTGTAATTTGGGCCTGTTTTATTATTTTTCTGATTCTCCCCTTTTTTGTATGAGGTAGGTATGTAGACTAATTAAAGTGATAGAAATAAAAACTTATTTTTTTTTACTTAATTTTTTTCAGACTGACAACCAGCTTAAACATTACTTACATATCATTGAAAATAAACCCCTTTACCCAGTTATCTATGATAGCGGTGGTGTTGTCCTTTCCATGCCTCCTGTCATCAATGGTGAGTTACTTCTTTAGCTTCGTAGATTTCTTGCTGTTTCCTCTTAGACTTCAATATTTCTGTAGAATTGAGGCTTCTAGGCTTGGGTGAATCAAATCTTAGGTCTTTTGTAGACTTTATTGTAATAATTCTTCTACTCAACAACACTTTACTGATGATTTTTATTTAAGTTATAGATGTATAAATGTTGATAAGCTTATAAATGTTTATAAGTTTATAAATGTTTTCTGGTGTCAGTCTCTCGATTATGTTATATTCCTTCAAAAGGTGTTGGTATTTTGGTTTT